AAGCACATATAGGTGAGTACACACACACACACACACCTGCTAGAAGAGACAGGTCTGGTGAGTGCCTCTCTAAATAACCACGAGAAGGAGCCGACGTGTTCACCTGCCTCACTCAAGCCACCAGGTGTTCATGGCAACGGAAGGAGGTCTGCTGAAGTGTCCCCATTCATCAGGATGATAAATCTGCCGATGAATCAAGAGGCACTATCCTGAAACTCTCTTCCCTACACACACATGGCTTAGTGCCACTTACTGCCTCTTAGGAAGTGTCAAGCCTGCTGATGAATCAAGGGGCACTATCCTGAAACTCTCTTCCCTACACACACATGGCTTAGTGCCACTTACTGCCTCTTAGGAAGTGTCAAGCCTGCTGATGAATCAAGGGGCACTATCCTGAAACTCTCTTCCCTACACACACACATGGCTTAGTGCCACTTACTGCCTCTTAGGAAGTGTCAAGCCTTCTAACTAGTCTTTAAAAGTTTGTTCCAGTCGTATTTTCCTTTGGACCACGTGTTTGGTAGACAAGTTTTGAGAGAACAAACAAGATAAAAGATTAGTAGTTCTATTATTTGCTCACATTGCTTGTTACGTTGTGGTCAAACGAGGCAGTTCGACAGTTGTAAAGGTTTTAAACATCAGTAGCAACTTGTGATAATACATAGCCTTAAATACCTGGGGTTAATATATATATATATATATATATATATATATATATATATATATATATATATATATATAATATATATATATATATATATATATATATATATATATGATATATATATATATATATATGTCGTACCTAGTAGCCAGAATTCACTTCTCAGCCTACTATGCAAGGCCCGATTTGCCTAATAAGCCAAGTTTTCATGATTTAATTGTTTTTCGACTACCTAACCTACCTAACCTAACCTAACCTAACTTTTTAGGCTACCTAACCTAACCTAACCTATAAAGATAGGTTAGGTTAGGTTAGGTTAGGTAGGGTTGGTTAGGTTCGGTCATATATCTACGTTAATTTTAACTCCAATGAAAAAACATTGACCTCATACATAATGAAATGGGTAGCTTTATCATTTCATAAGACAAAAATTAGAGAAAATATATTAATTCAGGAAAACTTGGCTTATTAGGCAAATCGGGCCTTGCATAGTAGGCTGAGAAGTGCGTTCTGGCTACTAGGTACGACATATATATATATATATATATATATATATATATATATATATATATATATATATATATATATATATATATTGTTTTAAACCTAAAAGGGGGGACCACTTATTGTGCATGTGTGCAAGTGTAGGGACCCATAGCCTCAGAGAAGAAAATAAAGAGCACTCAGAGAAGACCTTGTGGATCCTCACTAAACACTGATATTGTCTTCTCCTACCACCCTATTCTTTAAGGATATATATATATATATATATATATATATATATATTATATATATATATATATATATATATATAAGAAATTGTATACGGCTTCCATAAGAACAATAGGTATTGCCAAATAATTATTTCTAAGTTTTGATCGTTTTGGGAAACATCAAAAACTCTAAATCTTAAATTGTTCATTTTCAGATGTGGGCGGCGCATGGCCGCCAGCACCGAAGCTGTGCAAGATAAGAGTAAGTGGAGACCGCTTTACGTAGTCGATATGTAACAGAGGAACAAGTAGAGGTGGTGGCGGGAACTGTGCTGAACCCCGTCCACTGATTCCCTCAGAACGACGACAGGAATCATACTGTCTAATACACACATCGCTCTACCCGCCAAACACACATCGAAACTACGACGTTGCTGCAACGTTCGAACAGGATTTAACACCACCTAACCAGTTATAACAACCAATATAGCAGGTTGTAACAACGTTCTAATACGTCATAAACACGTTAAGCCAAGATATAACAACTTTATTTCAAGTTGTAACAAGCGGAAAATAGAGACAGTTTCGGTTTGTGTTTCCAGGGAATACACACATCGCTCTAGGCTCTGCCCGTCAAACACACACCGAAACTACGACGTTAGTACAACGTTCGATCAAGTTTTAACACCACCTAACCAGTTATAACAACCAATATAGCAAGTTGTAACAACGTTCTAATACGTCATAAACACGTTAAGCCAAGATGTAACAACTTTATTACAAGTTGTAACAAGCGGAAAATAGAGACAGTTTCGGTTTGTGTTTCAAGGGTGTGAAGCTGTGGTCGAGTCTAGTGGAGAACGTTTTTGTAATAATAATTTTTTTTAAATAATATTTTTACATATTATTTACAGTGGTTACTTAACGATATTTGTATTATACATCTCTAATTACACACAACGCTTCTGTTTACCTGCTTAACAGTGCTATATAATCCTCCTGCTTTTCAGCGCTCTGCTTATTGTACACCTCAGCAGGTGTTGGTAAGTTGGTGCCACTATTCTGCTCGCTACACCCAGTTAAGTGTAAGTTTAAGTGCACTTATCCTACCCAGGCCGTCTTT